GCCAAGCTCCTAGTCAGGCACCTCGCCACACACATCAGGTCGAGCAGAGGTGGCCAACGGATCCTCTCCCACTCACGCAGATTGACTGGTAATGCCTGCCTGCAGAGCTAGGATCTATTTGTGATGTCTGCCACGGCCAGGGGAGGGGACGGGGGGGGGCATGGAGTGAGCAACCATAACTGGTTCTGTTTTCCGGCCTGTCCCAGTGGAGGTGCGGACGGGAGGAAGAGACAGCCCTTGCCTTCAGGGGGGTAGTTCCCGGGAAACAGGGCAATTAGTTAACGGCGCCGACCCAGTGTTACAATTCACGCGTGGCCAGGTACTGTTTTAGGCGTTTGTTTATGCTGAATTTTCCTCAATGGGTCCCCCTTTCCCTCCTCCCGCCCCCCCATCCTCACTGCCTGGGGAAGGCTCTTGGAAGCCCGAGTGGGAGAGGGGCCGCCGGCCTTCCCAGCCTGAGGTCCCAGCGTCCCTACCCCATGGAGAAGGCAGGGCTGAAGCCGAGACAGGGAGCTGGCAGGAAGGGTCCGGGCAAGTCCCACACAAAAGAGATTCAAATGCCACCTCAGGGCCACCAAGCTGCACCCCCCCAGGGGTGCCCTTTACCCGTCAGCACACATCCCCTGCCAGGCCCTTGTGAACCAGACGCCGAAGAAATGACTCCCTAACAGTGAAATTTCAGCCCAAGTGGGAAAATCTATCTCGTGAGTCCAAGAGGGGAAGAAAGGCCTTTCTCTGAGCCATTAAGTTAATTATTTTATTAACTTGTATTTAATCATTTATTTTATTCAATTATTAAATCCAGCCATCCCTTTGTGAAACTAATATAAAAATTGTCTTACTAAAAATCTACTATTGATTTATTAGTCACCGTATAATTAACAGACTCTTGGCCGGCCGGCTCGGTGCCCCGCGCTGGCTTCCCACGTCTTACGTCCGGACCTGGGGCAGCGGAGCCGTCGGGACGGGCTGTGTCGGGGCTCAGCAGCCCCCGAGTCCCGGTGGCTGAAGACAGTGAAGCTGCTCCTTGTCCTCTGTGCCCGTGACAGGTGGGCAGGGCAGGCGGCTCCCCGCAGATGCTCGCCCTGGCAGTTGCCGGGCAACGGGCTGGAGGCTGTCGGGTTGGCTGTTAAACGCGCCCGCCTGGGCAGAGAGTGGGGTCCCTGCTGCTCACAGCCCACCTCCTGCACGGCGTCCCCAGGCAGCCCTCCAGCAGTGCACAAAGCAGCCTGGGTGCCGTGTGGGCCTGGGGAGTTGGGCGGAACAAGTGCGCTGACAGTCTAGCTGGGAAGCCAGAATTGACAGCTCAAATGCACCGTGGCACGTGCCGCAGAGAAGGGCAGGGTGCCACACAGACTCGGGGTGTGTGTGCACGGCGTGGCCTCCCCTGCGGACGGGGCTGCTGTTTGAGGGAAAGCGTACAGGATGACTAGGGGCCCCGAGGGTGAGCAAATGAGGAGTGGGTGGGGGTGGGGTCTCAGAAGCCCCGAGGCCACAGAAGATACCGTCTTTTTCTGGGAGCTGAGCGAAAGCCGCTATTGCTGGAGCGGAGCATGGAGGCGAGAAGCCAGAAGGCCAGCGGCTACGTCATTCATGGCCACGTAGCTGGGTTAATGAATCGGGGCTTTCTCCTAAGAGCCATGGGGAGCCATGGAAGGTTTCAGACAGGGAGTGGGGATGGGGCATTGGACAGCGCCCCCTGGTGGCAAGGTGAGGAATGGCGTCTTCCATGCTGGTGGGCAGCACTGTAGACGCCGTGGCCTGTGTTCTAAGCCTTCCTCGCAGAGTCTGCAGACAGTCCCTCTGGGCCGCCCGCCCTGTTAAGGCCCGTGGACACAGCTCACGGGGGCCAGCCTCCCAAGCCATGCCACCGAGCCAGGCTCTCCAGGGGACACCAGACGGGCCCGCCACCACCGCATACAGCAGACCCAGACGACGGAAGGTCTGCCCTGCCTGGGGTTCCTCCAAAGGGTGCCTGGCCTGGGTCTGACTTCAGACATGGAAGGGAGGGTCCCGATCACCGTCCCTTTAGTCATCTCCGACCTTTGATCTCAGGCCTCAGATGAGTGCGGGCATGTGAGTGCTCAGACAGACAGACAGACAATGAGCAGAGACGGACACGGCAAGTCTAATCCTCGGCATTACCGGCATTACCGAAGGCAGATACGCCCCGACCGGCCAGCAGACGGGAGGTCTGGCGGCCGCACCCCCCCCTCCCTTGCCGGCTTGTGACGATCTCCACCTCAGCCCGAAAATGCTGATCACAAACGGCAGGCAAGGGGTTAGTCTGGCTCGAGGGGCCTCTGCCGAGAACGGCCTCAAGCCGGAGACCTTCAGCAGCTGTTTTTCCTCATTTTTCCCCTGTGTTTCAGACAGGATGCATTGAGCCAACCGGATTTTCTGGAAAGAGGGATGAGATGTCTTTGCTCTTCCATTTTCAGAGAGCTACGCCCTTGCCCAGTATAACAGCGTCAGAGGGACGGTCAGGAACCCCGCGTTCCCGTCAGCCCCCCCCCCCCAAGTTCCCTCCCGCTTAGCAGCATCTTCTGTCCTTCTAGGGACAGCAGGCACATACCATCGGTTTCTACAGAAATTTCGCTCCTGTGAATATGTTCCGTCCCTTGCTGGCTGCTGGCTTTACTTCGACAGAGGAAGAATATTATCAACAGCTCGGAGATTTTCTTTTGGGGGGCCCCCCATCAGCACCCCTTCTGCTATCACAACCAGCCACACATGCAGCGCATGCCCGGTGGGAGAACAGATACAAAGGGCTACATGCTCAGCTCCGAGCTTCATAGGAACCTCCTGGGGTTTTCTTAAGTCCTTCGTCAGTGGTCTTGGAAGTCAGGCGTTCAGGTGCACGTGACGATGTTTCTGGAGGCCCAGACCCGGGTGCTCGCTCACGAAGAGCCGCACGTGGAGGTCTGAGCCCCTCAGGAATCGGAGGGAGGCTCAGGATGCAGCCGAGAGAGGACAGAAGTCCTCGGGGAGGAAGAGGAGAGGCAGGTGGGAGGGGTGGGGGCCCGCGTAGCCATCGGGGGTCCAGCCCGGGAAACACACCCCTCCGAGCACTTGAGCAGAGCAGACTGAACGCGGGGAGCTGGTCGTGCGCCGTGAGCCGAGCTCAGCTGCGCGGGAGGTGGCCTCCAGGTCTGGAGCTGAGGGGACAGGCTTGCCGAGGTCTGGGAGGGAGCAGGAGCCAAGGAGGAGCCCCTCGGCCACCAGAGATGCAGCCACGAGGGAGGAGGGGCACCTGCTTCTCCAGTGCCCACACGGGCCTCACTCCAGGCACCTGGGAGACACAGGCACTGGGGACCCCGTGACGCAGAGGCTGGAAGGGCCGGACACTCCCCCACCCCCAGCCTGGTACCACTTCCAACATGGCCCTGAAAGGTACGGGGAGGGGGAGGGGGGCTGAGAGAAGAGCCTGCTCCCCACAGCTTGCATGCGGCGTGTGGGGTGGGAGTTCTGGGAGCTCCAGTGGGGAGAGGGGGAAGTGGCCCAGGGGGCAGGTGGGCGCTCCTGGCGGGAGAGAGGTCGCCACTGCAAGGTGCTGGAGGGTCACAGAACAGCCACGCCGGGGAGGATCAGAATAGTGTCTGGGTCCACAGCTCCACGGCCCAGGTAACGCCGCACATATGTCGCCAGAACCCGGCCGGGAAAGCCCGAGGATGGTTGGCGTGGATTCCATGAAACGTCAGTAGAAAACAGCGAGCTTCTCGAGAGCCAACGTGACTTGCGTTACGTGTACGTTAGCGTGGTGACGGGTACGCATTACAGTGGAAAAGAAAAACGAGAGCAAAGAGTGGTCCGCTCGTGTTTGCGCATCTGAGTGCCCGGCCGTGGATTTCGACGGCCAAGCCGCCCCCCTGCCGCCACGGCCGTTGACGCTCCGCGTTTCACGATATTCGGTGGCGTCTCTGCCACCCGTGTCTTTCTGCAAAGGTCCTCATTCTGCATTGTAAGTCCCTTTTGGAGGGAGAGGAGTCCCTTCTTACCTGGAGTGGACTTGAAACCCAACCCCCCAATCCCCGCATTTGGAGAAGCCTGGGGTGCTGACCCGATCCCATCCCGTTTGGAGAAGCCTGGGGTACTGACCCGGTCCCATCCCGTTTGGAGAAGCCTGGGGTGCTGACCCGGTCCCCCCGTTTGGAGAAGCCTGGGGTGCTGACCCGGTCCCCCCCGTTTGGAGAAGCCTGGGGTGCTGACCTGGTCCCCACCATTTGGAGAAGCCTGGGTGCCAATTAAGGACACGCCAGCCGCTACAGGCCAATCCCCACATCTCAACGACTTCGCACAACCGGAGTTTGCTCTCCGCTCGGTGGTGCAAAGCAGGTGTTAGGTGGGTGGCTTTTCCCACAGGAGGACTTAGGGACCAGGCTGTACCACCCCCAGCAGCCCTCTGCTTCCAGCTGGCGCATCCGGCCGGAGCAAGGAGGGGCAGGTGCGGGAGGTTTTTAAGAGCAGCTTGACTTCCACCTGCACTCGGTCTCGTGGCCACGCCTGACTGCAAGGGATGCTGGGAAAGGTAGTCCAGCTGGCCCAGGAGGGAGGAAAGGGGGTGGTGAACAGCCAGCCAACCGCCCCTCCCCACAAAACCCCCCTCCCCCATTGCCTGTGCAACAACCGTAAAACGTCCCCAGCGGATGGGGGTCATGGAGTCCCATGACCAAGCTCGCTGCAGCGCCCCCTGGGCCACGCTGCCTGGAACCGCACCTAGAACAGCACAGCCTTTGAAGCCCACTCCTCCTCGGCCCCAGAGCACAAGCCTGCAGCGCCTGGGAAGACGTGCTTCCCCCTTCCCCCCACCCCCCGGGGGGCTTTCTGTGTCCCCGGAGCCATCGGACCCAGGAAGCCACCGCAGAACAGGGGAGGGGGGTCAGAAACCACGCAGCGCACCTGCGCAGCCGGAAGGAGCCTCCGCGCCGCCGCCCGGGGCCCACAGCTGAGGTTGCTCCAGAAAGATCTCCACGTTCTCAGCGGCGGCCTCCGGCCCAGCCCGCCTCTCCGCGCACGAACGGAGCTCTCCGAGCTGCAGCCTGTGTCCAGGTGGGTCACTCACGCGTGCCGTCGTGACTCACTGGGGTGCAGTGCGGTCACTCAGGCCTTCGGGGCCAGGTAATTCCTGGCCGTGCGCGCGTGCTCGGCGGGGACAGGCGCTGCCTTGCGAGCAGTAAGACATTTAGCGTCATCCCATCTCCATCCACCGGATCCTGTTAGCATGTCCCGTCTGAGCTGTGACAACCCAAGACGCCTCCGGACCTTTACAAATGTCCCCTGGGGGCAAAGCAGCCCCACTTGAGGGCCACCGGTCTAGAGCAGTGGTTCCCACACCTGATTACGCATTTGGATCACTTGGGAAGCTTCAGGGACCCAGGTATGTGCCTGAGGTCAATGAAGGTGTACTTACCCAACAAACCCCAGGCTCAGGCTCCCAGCGGCTTCGCTGATAATAGCGGATAACTGGGAGCAGCCCCAGGGCCCGTCAGCAGAACAGATGAGCCAGTTATGATCTATTCATATGGTGGAAATAATATCCAGAAAGAAGGGGAAAGCCAACCACAGGCCTGGCTTCTCACGGGAAGTTGAGTGAAGGCAGCCCCACACCTGCGGTGTGATCACACCTGCGGTGTGCTGTGTGATCGCACCTACTCGAGGCTCACAACAGGCAGAGCTCATCTGCTGCGACAGCGGTTGGGAGAGCGGTTATTTCTGGGGCGCGTTCCGGGGTGCTGGGAATGCTCCGCGGTGGCCCGCGGGGGGTGTGCCCAGGTTGCGCACTGATGATCGGCGCCCCTCGCTGAACGTAAGCCCTCCCTTGCGTTGGTCGGCTGTGGTCACTGTAGGAAACTACAGTGAACCCGGGGCACAGGAGAACTGAATTTATTCTCAGGTCTAGATGCCGGAATTGTGAAAGCCAGGTGTCCAGGCCATGCTCCCTCTGAAGGCTGGAGGGGAGAACCCTTCCTGATCTCTTCCAGCTTCTGGTGGCTGACACCTGGCCCAGGCTTGTGGCCACATCCCTCCCATCTCGGCTTCCGTGGCCGCGCCGCCCTCCCCCGTGTGTGTCACATCCCCTCTGCCTGCCTGTGGGGGCACAAGGGATCGCTCGAGGGCCCGCCTGATAATCCGGGATTGTTGACGCATCTCAGGACCCTTAGTGTATCTGGAAACTCTCCGCCGTGTAAGCTGATGTGTACGGGTTCCAGGACCTGGTATCTTTGGGCCCATTATTCAGCCTGTCACTTACCTAAATTAAAGAGGAGCTTAAAAAATTACCAGTGTGATGGCCCCGCCCCACACCATCCGAACCAGAACGTTTGCTGTCTTTGTTCATAAGTTACTCAGCAGCCCTGGGGTGCAGGGCCCTGGGGGTCACGCTTCCCCCTCCCCAGGGCCATGGGGATCACAGGGAATGTGCCTTTCTGTCCATCCCTTTATTGCCAGCACAGAGCTGACTCGACGAACTTACCAAACACTGAGTGAGTGAATGCACGAGGAATATAGGTGGCTTTTTACTTAGAACACTGCAGACACGAAGCGAGCTGGCTAACCTGGAGTTAGCAGAGACCCCACAGTTTAAGGCTCAGCCACAGGAAGGCCTCCCTTCGGAGGCCAGTCATGAGTGGCGGGTCCCCAGGTGCCCCACGCCTCTGTCCCACTTGGCTCCACATGGAGCTCATCCTCAGGTTTGAGAACCTTCTGTAGGAGCTCACAGTGCAGGGAGACGTGACTTGCATTTACTGGTTTATTATAAAGGACACAGATGAACAGCCGGGTGAAGGGGGACACGGGGCGAGGTCCAGAAGGACAAGCCGTCCCCATGGAGATTGGGGTGTGCCACCCTCCCGGCACGTGGGTGCATTCACCAAGCCGGGGGCTCCCCAAACCCCTTCATTCGGGGTGTTCATACAGGCTCCATTATGCACGCATGAGGGGTGTACTCAGTGGCAGCTGGTGACCGACTCAGTCCCCAGCCCTCTGACGCCAGGAGCCTGCGACGAAGACCCTCTATAGGTTCCTTACCACCACAGAGAGTGAGTGTGGCCGCCGTGAACAAGAATGATAGACAGGTCAAGCCTCAAGCCCCAGCCCTGCCACTTACCAGCTGAGTCCCCGCCCCTGCGCCACCCCGCGCCCTCCTCAGGAAAGTAGGGTCACCGGCATCGTGGGCAGAATTCGTGGGATGATGTCTGCCCTTGCATCCTGGTCGAAATCCAAAACGCGGAAGCGTCCGACACCGAGCCCGTTTGTAAATCCTTTGTGGGTAAATCAAGGTCAAGGGGTGCAGGGTAGGATCTGTGGGTCTGCCCACGTGTCGGCCTCGGCTCCGCTCCCTGTGAGCGTGAGCTTGCCAGACGGCTGAGCACTCTTCGAAGGCAATGACGAGGGACCCCCGAGAATTTAAGCGGGGATGGTTCAGGCCCTGTGAGGAGAGCTGTGCAACCCCGACCTAGTTGACGGTGATGTCCTGGGCCAAGTCACTTTGCCTGTGTGACGGTACACCCGGAGCCATGCAGTTTGACAGGGAAGACAAAGAAACGACAGAAAATAAGCACCAAGACGACGAAGGCCCCATTCCGGCGAGCGCGAGGGCTGACGGCCTTTTCACCAGGAGCCCGGCCGGGCTTTCGGGCAGCTTCATGGGGGAAGGACACGGCCTGGTCCCATGGAAATTTCCTAGCAGGGTTTCTTTGGAAGCAAAGGCTTGGCAGCCCCGACCCAGTCTCCTTGGCCAGACACTGCCTCTTTGAAGAGAGTCAAAAACAGCAGAAGGAGGGGAAATGGTTCTTGAATGAGCTGGTGTTAGTGGCATCCTCTTCTTCCAAAAAGAACTGCCCCAGCCCAGGCCAGGCTTGCCCCGCCTGATGGAATTCAACTCCACTCACCTGTGGTCAGCAAAATACCCTCCCCTCCCCATCCTTGCCCTAATTCCCAGAACCTGTGTATGACCTTCCAGGGCAAAGGGACTTGCCAATGTGACAGAGTTGGGGACCTTGTGATATGGAGGTCGTCCTGGGTGGCCCAAAAGGGCCCAAGGGAACCGCCGAGTCCTAAAATTCCAGAACCTTTCCAGCTGCGATCAGGGAAAGAGGAGAAGGCTCTGGAAGATACAAGGTTGCTGGCTCTGAGCGCCCAGAGAGATACAGTGTTGCTGGCTCTGAACACCCCCAGCAAGGACTGGGAGCCCCAGAAAATGCCCAGCTACAAGCTGGAAAGGCCGGGGGTGGGTTGTCTCCCAGAACCCCCAGATGGAACCCAGCGAGACCGGTGTTGAACTTCTGACCGCCAAGCTGAGGTCCATCAGTCTGTATTGTTTAAGCTGCTACCCTGGCAGAAACGGGTTCCAGAAGCAATAGAAAGGTCACCTTTCCCAGGCACCTGCTGCCGGCCTGTTGGCTGGGAGGGAATCCCTAATCCTGCAGTGGTCTCACTGATGACATCGAGCTTGGGATCTCGCCGCCGTGGAGGAAGCGGACGCGCAGTGACATGATGTGACAGTCCAGGGGCCCAAGCGGGGAGACCAGCCGCCCCGAGGCCCCCGGCTGCTCCCAGGTAGGATGGGCGCTCCTGACGGTCGCTGTAAAGCCATCATGAAGGCCGCCCTGGCTGCCGTGTGCAAAGACCTCCTCACAGATGCCGTCCTGGTGGATAACGGCTATGAGGTTCCCGCTGGCATCCCCCGGCCTGTCGCGTGGACCCTGACTTCTGGCTGTGTGACCTCAGGCCGGTCCCAAAACCTCTCTGGGCAGTGTGTTGTTTGGGCTGGCAACCCCCCAGCCCGCCCCCCGCTGCGCCAGCCTCCAGGAGTGTGTGAGCCAATCTGGTCCCAGTCCAGAGGGCGGGCCGGGGTGGTGGCTGCCGTGGGTCTGTGCACGTGGCCTGGGGAGTCGCACGGGGCCCTCTGGACAAGGTCAAGCCACTCTGCCGTCCAATAGACACAGGCACCTAGTTCTTTCTGCCGGGAGGTCCTGCTCTTCCCGCCCATCCTGGACTCGGCCTGGGTGCAGGGCTGGGGCTGGGACGCGGGGCTCCGTCCCCGGGTCACGGCCCAGCCCTGGCCTGCCTTTGCCCGTGGGCAGCTGGCTGACCCCTGGGCCGCCCCTGGAAGGGAAACATGCGGAACTTACCTTTGTGAGGGCGGGTGGGACGGCCCCGGGGTGCCCAGCTGTGCCTGGCCGTCCCCCTCCCCCCAAAATGGCCAGGAGAGAACTGTCCCTCGACCCAGCCCTTCTTCCTTTTCACCGTCAGCACGGGAAGGACGTGTCCTTCAGAAAGACAGGGCTGTGAGTGACCTTATTTGGAAACCGGTCTTTACAGATGTTCAGCTAAATGGGGTCGTGCTGGATGAGGGTGGGCCTGGACCCGGTGACCGGAGCCCTTGTAAGAAGAGCGGGACGTAGACACGGACAGCCCAGGAGGAGCCCAAGTGACACCGGAGGCGGAGGACGGAGAGACAGGTGCACAAGCCCAGGGACGCCAGGGGGCACTGGACGCTGGGGCAGCGAGCGAGGGTCCTTGAGAGAGAACGCCACCTGCCCACACCGGGATCTTGGGCTCCAGCCTCCAGAACTGCACGTCCGCTGTGCTAAGCTCCCAGCTGGTGGCCTTTGTTAGCGCAGCCCCGGGACGTGGCCACGCCCGCTGCCACCCACTTCCCTAGTGTGCCCGTCTCCTCCCAGCCCAACACGTGCGAGTGCAAGGCCGGCCTTCCTGCACAGCTTGTGGGCTTCCTTCCTTGGTGGGGGTAAAGCTGTCCTTTCAGGAAGGGATGGCGGCCGGCGGTACCCCATTTTACAGAAGGAAAAGCCAAGACTCTGGAGGGCTCCCCACAGCGCGCCGCCGCACGGCGCCTCACAGCCACGTCCCCTGCCGCCCGCCCAGCTCGGCCTCCTTCCTGCCCACATGTTGGGCCGAGTCCTCAGAATTCCCGGCAAAGGGGAGAGGTTGACGAGAAATTTCTGAGCTCAAATTAGGACAGCTGCCTGGCTCTGTGACCTGCTTCGTGGAGAGGCTGGGAGGTGACTGCGGGGCGGCGAGCTGGTCGGGGACTCCAGCCCGGGCCGCGGGATCCGGTTCCGTGAGCGCACACACTGCCCGCAGCCCTGTCGAAACAGAAGCGGGCTCCGGGCCCGAGGTTGTGGCCGCTGGACTCCCTGAGCCCGACTGGTCAGCCCAGCCGAAGCTGCGCAGCCACCGAGAGCCACCAGAAGCCACAGGAGTCTCCCCACCCGGGAGCCGGGTCCTGCACTGTGCACGCTCTGTTGTCTGCCGGGGCGCCCACAGCCGCAGCCGTCCTGGGGGGGGGGTCAGGCCCGGTACGACCTTCCCCGTCCCCAGAACACGGCCGGCTGCCGGGAAGGCCCCGCGGGCACCGCGCTGCTTCTGCGGAGCCCTGGGGTTGGGGGGGGCGACTGCCAGATGACCGCCTTCGAGCCCCGGAACCCCGTATTCCAGAAGAGGAGGAGGGACTTGCTGAGGTCCCGGTACTTACAGCCTCCCCCCGCCCCCCTGCAGGGCACAGGAAGGTGGGCTGTGGGCGAAGCGGAGCCCGTTGGGGCGGGAGACGGGAGATGGCGCGGGGCTGGGGGCGCCGCGGGCCATCCTGGGAGTGGACCTCTCTGGAAACGGGAGCCGACCGCAGCCGGGGTTGATGGGCTCAGTGTTTGGGCCCGAGCTACACTCGGGCACCAGCTCTGCCCGCTGCGGAAACGGCTTCCCGAAGCTCCGTCTGGTGACTGGCTGGCTCTCTCTGCCACTGTCATTCTGGTGGCTCGGGCTCATGTCCCTCGATGCCTCGTTTTCTGGGGTCACACGTTCAGGTGCCGGGTCCCCTGCTACCCCACCTTCAAAACGCAGCCCAAGGCAGCTACCTCCCCCCTCCTCACTGCCTCTGGCCTGGACCTCGCAGGGGGCTCGCTGCTCCTGTCCCTGTGCCTGCCCTCACCCACCCCTACGTTCTGTCCAGTGCAGCAGGTCAGGGGTGTTCCTGTGCCTCCCCAGCTTAGAAGCCTCCAAGGGCTTCCCATCTGCATTGGGGTGAACAGTGCCCCCCATTGCCGTCCATCTGTAACACGTGACCTTATTTGGAAATAAAGTCGAACCAGAGGTCAAGTTTAGATGAGGTCCTACTAGGGTGGGGTGGGTCCTAGAGCAGTGACTTGGGGTCCTTGCAGGAAGAGGAGGTTTGGACACAGACACGGGGGGTGTGTGAAGACAGGTGGAGGTGGGGGGATGCGCCCTCAGCCAGGGGCCGCCTGGGGCTGCCAAGCGCTAGAAGAGCGAAGCCGGATCCTGCCCTGGAGCTGTGCCAGGGAGCCGGGCTCTGCCGACGCCTTCACCGTGGGCTTCCGGCCACCAGAGCTGTGAGAGAATACACGTCCTTTGTTTTAGGACACCCGGCTCCCGGTCCTTTGTCACAGCGGCCCCAGAGAATGCAGGCAGCGGCCGAACGTGTTGCGGAAGCACTGGCCCCTCGCTCTGCCTGCGATGCCCATCATATAGCAAAGCCCTGATAAGTGCCGCAGGGAAGAACATGGTCCACTTTTCTGTAACCCGTGATCATTCGATGGCGAAAAGCATTCATTCTCACCTGCCCTTGAATCTAACCTCTTATACGATATGCTTTGGGAAGTGTTGGACTCGAACTTCCCTAAGGTCCTCTCCACACTGAAAATCCTGTGACTTCTGGAATTGAAAGCCGAGCCATGAAATAAGTAGAAACGTACATGCATAATTAGGTACTATTTTTAAAAACAGCCCAAAAGGGGCGCCTGGGTGGCTTAGTCGGTTAAGCGTCCGACTTTCGCTTAGGTCATGATCTCGCGGTCGTGGGTTCGAGCCCCGCGTCGGGCTCTGTGCTGACTGCCAGCTCGGAGCCTGGAGCCTGTTTCAGTCTGTGACTCCCTCTCTCTCTGACCCTCCCCTGCTCACGTTGTCTCTCTCTCTCTCTCCTAGAAATAAATAAAAATATAAAAAAACAACAAAACAAACAAAAACCCAGCCCAAATGCCGTTCCGTTCTGGGGGAAGCACCAATTGTTCTAGTCAAGCCATCAGACGTGAACTCCACTGGCCACGTGGGACCCTCTATCTGAGGCCCACCGGTGCGCGAGCGAGAATAATTACACTGTGCCGGGTTATTTCCTTGGGCTTTGTTCCTAGAAGTGGAGTTGCTGAGTCAAAGACTTTGTATTTTTAAAGTCATTTGATTCATAGTGTCGAGTTGCTCTTCAAAAAGTTGTTACAGATTTCAACTTCCAGCGCACAGGCTAGGTGCCCACCCCGCCCCCTTCCGTGCCAACGCCGGGCCGCATTGGACTCGACACCTTTCACTTGCCCTGTGTCTTGACCACAGAGGTAAGTACGAGTTTTTACTGGGTTATCTGAGTCTCCACTGAACTGTGTCCAGAGCGGCCGGCCCGCTAGCCCGTCCCTGCCGACGCGGACGCCTGCCAGGGACCGGGTGGCGGTGCCCTGAAGTCAGGCCAGACTTTGCAGAGGAAACAGCAAACCTCACTCAGATTTGGCCCCAAATCTCGAACTCTGGAAAAGAGACGATTTGGCGTCACAGGATCGTTCCCCGGGGGGCGGGGCCGGGTAGAGAAAAGAGGTCAGGGTTTGGAGTCCGGGGAACACGGTTTTGTCCTGGTTTGGCCCCTTTCTAGCTGTGACCTCGGGCAACACCCGTGACCTTTGTGGCTCCGTTCTGTCACCTCTGATGTGGGGTAACGCCAGCCCCAGCCTCTCGGGACCCTGAGGGTCACATTACGTCCTTGCTGTGAGGTGGGCTTTGCGGACGCGACCCTAGTATGAGCTGGGGCTCCAGGCAGCACCGTCTAGAGCGGCTTGTGAGGCGCGACGCTCGGGGAACCTGGGTTGCTCCCTGCAGTTCCCTAACACATTCAGGGCATCTCCTTAAATTATTCTAACGATTTTTGGGAGCGAGCGAGCAGGGGAAGGGCGGGGGATGCGGACAGAGGATCTGAAGCGGGCTCTGAGCCGTCAGCACAGAGCGGGAGGCGGGGCGTGAACTCACAAACCGTGAGGTCGTGACCTGAGCGCAAGCCGGACGCTCACCCGACTGAGCCCCCAGCGCCCCTAAGGGATTCCACTTCTTACCCCACAGTTCTGTTTCCCAAATCTCCCCACAGGAGAGGTGAGGGGGGCGGATCAGAAGCTGGACTCCGGGCCTCAGGGGCGCCGGGGGTGGGGGAGTGGCTTTGCGGAGGGTCCGGCGGGGGTCTCTGCGGGGCCTGGCTCTTCCTCCAGCCCCGTCCCCCCCGCCGCCAAGGGCTTGGTCCCCAGCCTTGGTTCTTGCACAGAGTGTGTGCAACACAACCTGCCGTGCCCCCCGCCGTCCTCACGCTCCACGCCGGCATCCGCGCCAGGACGCGGGCCGTGTTCCCACCTCCCCCAACCTCAGCTCACCACCCGGGCCCCCAGCACGCTCTGCTCCGGTGGTCCCTCCCAGCCCCGACAGGAGGGGGGGAAGAGCTGCCGATTTGGGGGGGGGGCCTGGGCTGGGCCAGGCTTCCAGTTAGGAACTATGTGGCCTCGGGGAAGATGCTGAGTATCTCAGCACCTCAGCGTCCTCATCTGCAAAATGGGTGTGTGACTGCAGAGCTGGGTGGAAACAGAAACCGTCTGTTGAGCTTAGATGCGGCACTGATGACGGCAGACGCGAACTCCACCATCCGTTCACCCCCTGGCTGGGTGCCGGGCGTCGCTGGCTCTCCGGGCACCGCTCTGTGCCAGGGGTCCTGCCCACGGAGGTGCCAGGAGCAGCGGAGGCCGGCGTGGTGGCTGCCTGCACAGCGCCCACCGGACACCACCAGTGGGCTAATGAGCTGTGCCAGGCACAGGGGCCCAGAGCAAGGGCCAAGACCCAGGGACGGCTTCCTGGAGGAGGTGACATCTGATCTAGGCCTTAACAATGAGTGAGAAGTAGCCATTCACGTTTTCATTCATCTGGTTACTGGGCGTCTCCCCCGTCCCCTCCATGAAGCACAATCGCTGTGTCAGGTGCTGGCCCTGGGAGGTTAGAGGCCGGGAAACCAGAGGACACCTGGCCTCCCCCTCCCATCCTCTCCCTGGGCCCAGGGCTTGGCCAGCAGGAGTGTGGGAGCGATGCAGGGCTGGCCCACGCCTGAGGGTCACAGCCAAGGCGCCGGGGCCCACCCCCGTAGACGCGGCAGGTGTACAGAACCATGTGCGGGGCACCGTATGCAGAACCCGGGGCACCGTGTGCAGAACTGGGCGCACCGTGGGCAGAACCGGGGGGCACCGTGTGCAGAACCGGGGGGCACCGTGTGCAGAACCGGGCGCACCGTGTGCAGAACCGGGCGCGGCGGGGAATAAGGTGGGTGGATGTGTAATGGCCCCCAAGACACAGCACGGAGTGAAAAACGGCCAAGTGCCCCTAGCGTTGTGGGCCGGGACGCAGTGCACACGTGCCCGTGCGTGGGTATCTGGGTGTGAGCGACACGTGGAGCCGGAGAGGGTGCTGGCTGCAGGCCAGCGATCGAGGGGGGTGGGGGGGCGCGGAGCCGCGGCGGACGCGTGTCCCGTGTGCGCGGACGCGGGGTTGGAGCGACCAGTCCGCGCGAGTCCGGGTGGGAGGGGTGTCCAGGGAGGCAAAGCCGGGAGGCGAGCGGGCGGGGGCGCGGGGCCTCCGGGGAGGGGGCACGAAGGCCCCTCGACTGTTCCTTTAAACCGGGTCCTCTTAGGTGAATTTCGCTTCAGTAAGTTGTTTAAAAAGGAAAACATGGGGTTCCTGGCTGGGTCGGTAGAGCCTGCGAGTCTTGGTCTCGGGGTAGTGAGTTCGAGCCCCACGTTGTGCACAGAGCTTACTTTAAAAACAAAAGGAAGGAAGGGAGGGAGGAAATAAAACCCGTTCCCTGCTGTCCGGGGCTCGGGCGCGTTTAGGGGCCTG